AACTCGCAATGTCCCACATACAGTATCAGATATCTGGTGCTCCTCTAGTGGAGTGTAATGAACAGTTCTCCTTGACCTGCAAGAGTTGATCATGATCAGAGGAGACAGAATGATTTGGCTGAAAACATGTCCTTGATGACGTATTTTAGCTGTCAAAATGGCTGTGGGTTGTGCAGAACTGACACACACATGCTAAGCCTCCATGTTTTAAGGGGGATCCCATTGACATCATAACTTTTATACTCTACAAAATGTATAATTAATCCTCTAACTACAACCTTTAGAAAGATAAACCTCATTTACTTTATTTATTTATAAGCTTAATTCATCATGGGAACAAAAATGTCCCAAGAAGATCAGTAATTTTGGAATTATAACCCTGAATTTCATTCATTAAAAAAAAAATATTTTCAGCTTAAACTACTTATTCAAACAACTCAAACTGAATTAATGCTATATTGTATGCAAGACTGCTTCTGCAAGCGTGTTTCGCAATCGAGGCCTAGAATAAAGTGATTCCAGTTCTTCTGCAAGTGTGCAAAAATCAAATGTTTGAATAATATTTGTTCAAAAGCAGAACAAACACACTCCAAATGTGGTCATTTATATACTAAAATAGGTTAAACAGTAAATGAAATCTTTCTGACTGACCTATTTACATACTACGGCCTCTTGAAAGTGTCCTTTCTAAATTAAAGTGTAAGTTATTTTAGCAATTTCCCATTTGCCACAGATAAATTAGGTGATGGGGAGCACGACCCAAATCCAAAACACTGTTTTGCAAATGGACATAAAAATATGCTCTGACCTGGTCTTGAGCATTAAAACATGCTGTCCTACCTGCCTGTGTTGTTCTCCTGAGCGCGCAGAACTCCAGCAAAGAAAGCAAATGAGTGGTGGAGAGAGAGAATCTAGTTAGGATAAAGGTTGCTGTCAGGAGTAATGGGGCTGGAAGTCTGCAGGAGCAGGAGGTCTGGTCTGTTTGCGCACGATCTCCTCCTCTTTGTCAGACTCCTCCCTCCTGTATTCACACTGTCCTGTATCATCTATGCCAAAGCTGTCGCTCCATCACTGGAATGTGGTCCTGAGCGTCAGAATAAAACAATGATCTCCCCTCCTCCCAGCGGTGCTCTAATTAAATTAATCCTTCTGACTGATTTCTTCAGCTGCCATACGCAACGCATGAACTGAGGCTTTCATCTCAAATACAGTGTGACCTATATAGGACGTCATAAACAAACAAGACCTTCTTCGAGCTTTATGACATCATCTGACATGTGAAGAATAAAACTCCCATAAAACATTTGCATGAGGGAAAGATAGCCTTCCGAAAGGAGCAATCTTCAGTTTGAACTATCAAATTATGTAATAGTTATTGCGATAAGCTGAGCGGGAACGATAAGCTGAGTGTGCACATTATGCAAAACATTAAGTTAAAGAGTAATTCTTTATAATGACCTGACCTTTTAATAATATGGAGTATGTGTGCTCACTATCATCTGACAGAAGAACCATAAAAACAAAGCACTGTGCATGAATAGAGAAAGGTAGAACTGTACAGAAAACGTAAGACTTGGCTGTCTTCCTTATTATGTAGAAGCAGAATGTGTTTAAAAACTAACTGGGTTGCATGAATTGCATGGAATTTGGTTTTCAAAGGGTACTTTGAGGAAACATTTCAAATAAAGTATTGTTTGTCAACACACACCGTGCTGCTTTCAATGTTGTTATCCACCAACAGCTGAAATATGTAATATCATATTATAAAATATGTGCACGGCTCTGGCTCCCTCTTCTGACAAGAGTCTTGAAAAACACAGTGAAAGGTCACTCCATTTTTGCCTTGGGTACATTTAGAGCGGTCGTTCTCAGTCAGGGGGCCATGCCAAACTTCCAGATTTCCTTACAACCCTCTGTTATAACTAATTACCTAAAATAAACCTAAAAGGATAGTTGAAAATTCTGTCATTACTTACTCAGCCTCAAATTACTGTAAATTTGTTTTCTTCTGTTGAATAGACAGGACGATATTTTGACGAATGCTGCTACCTTTTAGCCCACTGACTTTTATGTTATTATTTCTACTATGCAAGTCAATGGCTTTCAGTTCTCAATATTATTTTAAAATATCATCTTTTGCATTCAACAGAAAAAAAGAGAAAGGTTTGGAACCACTTGAAGGTGAGTAAACAGTAAGTGCAATTGCTGGATTTGGTATTGCCCAACTGAACAGACAGCTGGGCAATACCAAATATTACGAGTGCGCTTATATTCGGTGTAATTTATAAGCCAAACAAAGGTTGCCTATTATAAAGCACTAAAAAAAATTGTCATGTGGGCCTACTACATCCCAAATGTTCAGAAGCCATTCTATAGTTTAATATGAAGCACAGATGAATATTCAAGTAGGTAAATTCATGTTCAGTTTAGCGCTTCCCGCCGCTGCGCCTGTCAATCGTTCTCCATTCATTCACAATTCAAACTGCATGTCGGGTTCATGACAACACGAAAAACTTTATCCAAGACTATTGGTTCCTGTTAGTTTTAATAATCAGTGAAGAAATGGATTTAGTTTTGCACTAAATGGGTTAATTTTGACATGCAACAAGGAGTACATTGCTGTTTCTAAATCATGTTGCGCTGTGTCTGCTATATCAGCATATTGCATTTGCAACACTGGAGTAGAGATGGTTATTACCTGCTCTTCATACACAAAGTAGGCCAACCTGAAACTTTAAATTAGAAAAGGCTCAATAATACATTGGACAGATCTTTTACACACTGATTTCTTCCCTTTGTGCTGCTATTTTGGAAGTGTCTGCAGATATGGGAGGGCTGTGTCATACTGATGTATCAAGCACTTCATTCATGTACCGGCTGCGCAGACACAACTCAGTTGGCATTTCTGTGTATGAATGAATGAATTTTTCAGACAAAAAATAATTTCAGACATGCTTTCAGTTTCTTCATCTCACTCACGGCGAGTTTAGGCGAGGGAATGTTTATCAAGTAAAACTGGCCTGAGAAGGATTAGTTTAGTCTGCTTCAAACCTGCAGGAAAATATCAGGCTTTGCTAAACGATTGGTTATTTTACTGACGATTAGGGACAATAGTAGTAGCCTATTACAGATTTCAAAGAAAAATCTTAATATTAAAAAAGAAAGATCACAGATCAATGTCATAACGAATGCTCAAATAATGTAGCCCATTGTTTATGGCAAGCATCATGTTTTTAGTTAGATTGTGCCATCTGTCATATACAGTAGGCCTATGGGTCTGTTATTTTTACTAACGAAGATAGAGTATTTGAGTTTATCACCAGAACTATAGAAACTGTATTATGTTAATAAAAAAATAAAAAAATTTAAAAAATAAAAAACGGCACAGTTTCGGGATCGGATCTGTATCGGTCGATACTCAGAATTTTGGTATCGGGATTGGATCGGTTACAAAAAATGGTATCGTGCATCCATACATTTTATTTACATCTGCGAGTGCAAATTACGTTAAATCCAGAAATAGCTTTCCCCTCAATAACTCCTGTTTACATGTCCCAGACGTGCTTCACTTTTCTTTATTACACTCTTCCCTCTCTTACTTCATTTCTCTTTGATCTGCATGTTACTGCTTACACAGCACCAGTACCCTCCTAAAAATGCCTTAAATACCTCTTAACACTTCAAAATGGTGGCAATGTGCTAGGGGAAGTTTACAAACGCATTCATGAAAGAAGTGAAACTTACAAGTGTCATCCTCTAGTTTCTGTGTATAATTATAAAGGCTAAAAACAATAAACTTTGTCATAATTATACAGAACTACTGTGGGTGATATAATACTTGATCATACAATACTATCCATATTGTGCCACACATATATATATATATAGAGAGAGAGGAAACTATTAGCCCTTTTATGAAATAGTTAAAATATTTTACAATTTTTCTCAAGTGCTGTTTAGTGGAGATATAACAGTTTTAATAACTAATTTATTTGTCTTAACCATTACAGCAGTACACAATATTTTTCTAGTTATTTTGCAAGATACTCTGCTTATAGTGCACTTTAAAATGTCTGACTAGGTTATAAGGTTAACTAGGTAAGTTAAATTAATCATTCAAAAGTCATTGGATAGCAGTGGTTTGTTTTGTAGCCAATTATATATGTAACCCACCGGTCCTACTGCACCCAACCCAGTCTGAGCTGGAATTGAACTGATGATTCTTTGCATGGGGGTCGGTTGCTCTAACAAGGAGGCTAACCAAAGACCATGGCACAAGGGTATGTTGCTAGAGCACCTTTAGAGGTCAGAGGAGTGAGGTTTACCTGCATAGCACTTCGCTAGCTGGCCTCAGTTACACTCTCCCCCACTAAACCTCACTCTTATCCCGGACGAGTCCCCACTGGTCCTACTGCACCCAACCCCGTCTGAGCAGGAATTGAACGGGCGACTTTTTGTATGGGAGTCGGTTGCTCTAATAAGGAGGCTAAAGACCATGACCAGTGTCTGTCACTAGAGTATCTTTTGAGGTCAGAGGAGTGAAGTTTACCTTCATAACACTTCGCTAGCTGGCCTCCGTTACATACATACATACATACATACATACATACATACATACATACATACATACATACATACATACATACATACATACATACATACATACATACATACATACATACATACATACATACATACATATACATACATACATACATACATACATACATACATACATATATATATATATATATATATATATGTGTGTGTGTGTGTGTGTGTGTGTGTGTGTGTGTGTGTGTATATATATATATATATATATATATATATATATATATTTTTTTTTTTTTTTTTTTTTTCAGGCAAACTAAAAAATATAAAACTTTCTTCAGAAGAAAAATATAGTAGGAAATATGGCTGTTAAACATCACTAAGGAAATATTTGACTTCAAATATCACAGGGCTAATTATTTAGTCTCTAAACTGTATTAGTCAGTTACCCATCCTCCCTGCTGAATGATGAAGTCTGCCTGTGATTCTTCAAGGTAACGCAAACCACACTGGAGCAGAGCTTCTAGCGATTGACCCTTGGCCTGCAGGGCTTGTAACAATACTAAAGGTACCAACACCTAAACAGAACAACAAAGTCACGGAATACAAAAATTAAGCACTTATGAAAACATAATCTCTTCTGGGGGTATTGTGCATGTGTGATTACACTGATGTGTTTTGATCTACCTTGCTCCATCCTCCTTGAGCGTGAGAGGAAACCTCGTCCACTGCTGCTCTGAAGCATTCGAAGTTCAAGTCACTGCATGAGACACATACAAAATCACCACTTAGGACATTTCTCTGTATTTGGGTCTTCTAAAAACATCAAGATGACATATGTTGAAAGTTTTCAGTCAATATTTAAGTTAAATGTCAAGAATAGTCATTTGAACTCACTTAACGTGTCGTATAACTTATAACAACTGTGAGCAGGCTGTTTACACAATGCATTTTTCTGGTATAGACCTCTGCCAATAAAGCATCATTTGCTAGATTTTGTTTTCCAAAGACTAAAACAGCCAGGAAATTTTCACTAGACTTTTTAATGACCTGCTCAGAAGCGTATTAGTGGCGGAAAACAGGTGTGTGTCCAGGTCCCGAGAGACGCGGTCCCCCAATACTGCCAGACTGTCCTCTATCGAGCTCTCTGGATTGGCTGGACTGAACACTGGGGATGTGTGCTGATCAAAACCAGTCCTGGAAAAAGCTGAGAAATAAGAGAGAGAGGCAGATGACTTTAGAGATTCCAGATTTATTTTATTAATAAAATGCACTATAATAAAAAGAAGAAACAAACAAAAAAATCTTACAGGCTGCAATTTCCTCTTCCAGCTGCTTCATTTCATTTTCAATCTGTTTCTTCAGGCTGCTGTTTCGCTCTCTTTCCACTTCCTGTGTAGAATGGCTCTCTCCTGCAAAGAATAATAAATTTTAGTTATTACAAAACTGTTTTGTCCCCACCAAAATCCAACTCAGTTACTGTAAATGCAGGTTATGAATTACTATCATTTCGGTATTGACTTCTCATTTATCCAGTCATACGTTGCCATTGTTGTGCACTTTTCCCATTTTTTTCAAAATGTATTTATTTTTTGCCACATCAGCAACTTATGGCTATTTCATGGCAAGATCAATATACATAAACAAAATTACATAAGAACAACTTCATATTTTATTAAGAGATGATATACACACTTTTCCATTAAATTCATTATTAGATTTTTTAAGAAAGATGAGTTTGCTGAATATTCATTTATATAACTATATTATTCGTAGTGCAAGAGTAGATACTGTATACAATGTCATTCCATTTTGATGTTTGCATAAAATAAAACTTACAAAAGTGATTTTATTTACTGACATACTACTTAATTTTTCCTTATTTCAACCACAAAATATTAGAATATGGGTTAAATAATGTTCCAAACCGGCGACACAGTGGCTCAGTGGTTAGCACTGTTGCCTCACACCAAAAAGGTCACTGGTTCAAGTCCCTGCTGGGCCAGTTGGCATTTCTGTGTGGAGTTTTCAAGTTCTCCCCGTGTCGGTGGGGATTTCCTCCGGGTGCTCTGGTTTCCCCCACAGTCCAGAGACATGTGCTATAACTGAATAGAATAAACTAAATTGGCCGAAGTGTATGAGTGTGAATGAGGTGTGTGAAGATGTTTTCAAGTACTGGGTGGCAGCTGGAAGGGCATCAGCTGTGTAAAACATATGCTGGATAAGTTGGTGGTTCATTCCGCTGTGGCAACCCCTGATGAATAAAGAGAGTAAGCCGAAAAGAAAATGAATGTTCCAAACCACAAAAGTGTCATTCAGTGTAATGACCCTAACTTTAGTTTTACCTAAAGCTTACCTTTAGCTAAAAGTAAATTTGCTTTATTGGCAAACAAATGCCATCAAATCAGTGTTGGTTGTTATGGTTGGCTATATTTAAAGTCTGTTAATTTTTCTTTAAAACTTAAACAAAGGGATTTCTGTCCCAAATGTGCAGTTAATTAGAGGTTAAATCAATTACTTTAGATTAAAATCATGTCATAATAAGTCATTTTGGTATATAAACAACTGACATTTTAGTTGGTATCTTCTGTAAATCTTGGTTAAAATATATGATGGTTATTGTTTTTCTTAAAAAGAAGATCTGAATGTAAAAACATTACACTTTTTCCAAGTTTAAAAACACATTTTTTGTCCGACTCAAATGTGAATTTACATTGTTTTCTATTTTATAAATGACTTAAAAAAACATAGGTTTACCCATTATTACTAATTTCATCAGTATTGCTAATTGTAAGCATGAATAATGATTATTTGACATAAAAATATAAGCAAAAAGCAAAAAACCCACCTGGAAACTTCCGGTATCATAACCTTCAGCTGAATAATTTCCTGCATGACCAATAAAGCTTAAAAAAGCTGATGTGAGCCAAAAATATTGGAGTGTAACTCAGGGGGAGATTTAATTAATAAGCAAAGTAAACAGCCACTTAGGGAACCAGGAACCATTTTCTTTTAGTTGTGAATTTATTTTAAAAAAACATAATTAAAATGGAGATTTCATGAAGATAAATCATGGAAAAAGAGTGTATATATATAAAATTCTCATGTTTAAGCATTTCAGTTAAAGCTCCTTTTGCATTTTATCCTCTTATTCTCAATGATAATACATTATTACAAATTTACTTCATTATATATTAATACCATATAAAAATTAATTCGCAATACAGTATTTGTAACACAACCGGCTTTTCTGTAAAACCATAAACCATTGCAAGGCTGTTCATTCACACAATAGTAAATTATTTAGTCTTCATGAAGGACAGGCTTTCAGAGAGCAGCAGCTTCAACATTCAGCTCTCCAAACCACAAAATGACTACAAAAGATAAAATATTAAGAGTGGGACACATGTACAGAGAGAGCAAGAGCATGAGTGTGTATAAAAAAAAACAGTCAATAAAAAAAGCTACCAATATTACAATAATAGTCGGGATCTCACGCCAACTTTCCCAGGCTGGGTTTGTCTTTGGTCAGGTTTGGGCTTGACTCAGAACCAGTGGCATGTGAACAAGGCAACGCTGATCGCACATGACAGTCTGTCAGAGTGCAGAGCGGGTCGACTGGAAAGAGGGATCAGAAGCTACTTTCAAAGCTGACTGAATGAAAACCAGAGCAGGACATTCCTCATTGAACCGCTGATGTGCCCAAGGCTCCAAAATCTCCAACAGACAGCTTAAGCCCATACCATCCTCTGTGCTAAAGTCAACCATGTTAACGCTCAATGACATTATGTATGTGCACTTTTTGAAGTCCACAAAGACTTAAGAGTCTACACATAGATGAAACAAATAAATACATGCATGTACCAAGAAGTCAATATACTCTATGTGAGAGTCAGCATCATATAGAGCCTACTAAAAAGCATACGGTGAGAATTGGTCAACAGAATGAAGCATAACTGGACCAAATCTGCCAACCTTATATGGACTGCCATGTGAGAATAGACATTAAAGGATTTGTTAATACATTACTTGCAATACCTGCAGGCATATTTCAATCTAATTGCACTAGAGTATGCAGCACCTTGAGTTACAGTCCATGCTCAAAATGGAGACTCCTTGACAAGGAATTTGACCTCAGTATGTACGGACAAACTCTACAAGCAACTGAAACTGTAATGAAAGTTTTTAACCTCAGCCAAAGCAAACAAGCTGTATGGATTTTAGCAGTAGAAGTGATATAGCCATTATTTAAATACTGCAAAAGAAAAACACTATTACAAATTGCATATTTACAATTAACCATGGTGTGCTGCAGGGCTTAAAATTAGGACCAATTTCATTTTCAATTTATAAGTTACTTATTTGGGACTGAGCACCGGTGGTATGAGGTCCTATTGGAATTTCTGTTTATTCTTCGTCTTCCATAAAATGGATCGCATTTTTGAGGGTCTTAACATGCCTGAAAACTCACAAACCCTTGCACACTAGCCAGAAGTGACGAAAATGACTAGGGTTTCAGAAGTGGGTGTGGCAAAATGGCTCAACAGCGCCTACTATGCACTTTGACGAAGTGGCCCCAAGCTACGTTTTACGCACATATCAAAATTAGCACACACTTCAAACATACCAATACCTACAAAAAATTGAAAGTCTGACATTTTTTAACTTCCACTGAAAAAAAAGTGCAGTTTTTGTCATGTCCAGGCATTGTACTTTAACAAACTCCTCAAAAGGATTTGATCAGATTCACTTGGTGATACTAAATTGTGAAGATCTAGAGTTTTCCTCAAAGGGCATGTTCGTGGGAGCTTTACAAAGTTCAGTGTGTAGCCATCGAAGAAGTTCTTTAAACTCATCCACTGCTCTCTGTCAACCAGGTGGAAGTGAGCCCTGGTGCGAGGTCCCTTTGATCGCTGCTTTCAGCTTTAATTGGATGTTGAATTCTAAAACATTATATAAATTCGATTTACATGTAGGGCTGAGCGATTTTGACTAAAATTTAAATCTTGATTAATTGAATATTTTGACTCGATTCTAATTAATGAATGATTATTTTATTTATTACAAATATTTAAATGTAAATAATAGTTTTAATGTAATGAAAAATATGCCGTCTCAACACATCTCTGGCACAACTTCCAATCATCGTGAATGTAGTGAAGGCTCGTACACACCAGGACACTTTTCGTTTGCGTTTATAGTCAGCATTTTTAGGGACGTTTTTCCAGGTTCGAACCCCAAGCGATTTTCACTGGCGTCGAGCAGAAGAGTATGAAAAAATCACTCCTTGACGTTAGATGCTGCTAGACAACTTTAAGCTTCTACCCGCTTCTAACACAGAAGAAGACAGAAAGTTGACACACTTCTTGTTAAAATTATTGGCGATTCAAACAAGTATGGATTGTTCAAGTAGCAGCTCCAGCTCAAGCGATGAATAAATAATTATTGTTCACCAGTGCAATAGGCAGCTCCATGTTTGTATCGCCTCTGGGCATCTTCTTCAATGTGCGCTCACATTGACAGTTTTGCGCTTGAGCGCCTTCAAGTGCTGTTTACTGTAACTTCAGCAGCTCCGTGCATATGAACAAAAGTGCTAATCTGATTGGTGGAAAAGGTTTGACGCAGCACATTAAAACAAAAAACGAGCATGAGGCGTTTCCTTACAAATTACGTTTTTATGCCTGGCAATTTGCGCGTTGGTGTGCACGATCACATTGGTGCCCTTTATTTAGTCACGAGGCATTAAACATTGACGGAAAACGCGAACAAAAGGCATCCCATTGTGCATGGGCCTTAAGGCTCAAAAATAGGTCTATCGTCCTACTTGACCAGAGATCAGATGTGACAGCAAAGTGGTCGCAGAAGTTCAAAACAGAATGGGGTCATGAGACTCCACACACGGCAGGGGAACTAATAATAAAAAAAATCAACCTGGAAAAACTGGATCGATTATAGATTCTGTATGTCAATTTCGATTAATCGCCATTTCTATTTATATGTGATTTACAGTTTTTTGTTATGATCAAAATAAGTTGGTACTTAAAATATTGAACCCTAATATTCAGTAGGTAGTTAATTTGTCTATTTTGACACCAATATAAACTGTGAAAACTGTGTTAAGAAGTTAAAAAAGATTTCAAGGTGAGACTTTTTAGTTTTCAGGTTGAGAGTTCTCTAATTCAAATGTTTAATTTTTATTACACATCTAACTCAGAAATGAAAAATTATATGAATTGGGACTCAGCTAAAGTTTTTGTCTTGCGTTGTTTTTGTAGTAAAAAAAAATAAAAATAAAAAATATCAACCATATATAACATACACAACAATTTTCCTGTTTAACAAATTCACTCCAAAATAGCCCAACACCCCTGAAACTCCCACTCATCTATTTAATATCAAATCTCTCATTAATAAAACAGACATCATCATCAACATACATTTTCCAACATTACATGCATTGCTTTCTCTTGCCATCAGCCTTGTTTATTTTCAAAAATAACCATTCGATGGTCTGTATATATTTTACTCAGCATTTTTCAGAACAGTTAGCAAGTTGCAAATCCACTGCAATGAATGAACATGTTTATATATCTGCCAACAAGAAAAATGCATGAACGAACTCTGTGTACTTCGTGTTTTCTATTTTTGAAAGCATTTCAATGCAACAATTTTAGGATTCAGACTTTAAAATTAGAAATCAGCTAATGGGCTATATGCACAGCTAGTGTTTTTCAGCCTATGATCAACTTCCAGTGAAAGCTTAATGTGACTATTCAGTTAATATTAACATTCAGTTAAATAAACGTGAGCATTCATTTATTTGTTTAAGCGTAAAACAAGATGAAAGACTGCGCAACCATGAGTGCTGTCAGGATCAGCAGGCCAGCGCAGAAACTCCATTGAAAATACTGGGGTAAAATAAACTGTCAGATTTTAAAGACATGGCAGGGAAAATTTTAATTTAATTCAGTGCTTCTTGTCTGGTCTGACACCCACTTTATATTGTATATCTATCAGGCAGTGAAGATTGCTGATATTCAAAGAGACCAGTCCTTAAATGTGGCAATTTTATAATAAAATGACAGTTGACCGGAAGCGATGAGACTGGTTGGTTAAAGTAAAACGTCTGTGTGCATATAGCCCATTCCGACAGCATGTGAATGCAGCATTTCTTCTCTCAAGCACATACAATAGGCAATTTCCATGCAACATTAGGTCATTTATAGCTTAATTTTAAAAATTGTGTGTTCAAACCACTGAACATAGTTATCTATGGCCAGCATTTTGCTTTAGTTCCATTGCTTCAACATAAAACTGTGCTGCAAACTTTTTCCCATGTACACGAACAGAAAATGTGATTTCTGGCCACATTACAATACACAACTGCTTCCTGTTTTCTGGTATAAAGACGAAGTGCATTCTTCTGACATTGCCCTGAGATCAAATGAAACTTGTTTCTTGCCAGACAGGCATTTTATATGTGGGTCAAAGGCAAAAAGACCATCAAAACAATTATTATTCTTAATTAAGTATCTTCATTAGAATGCGTTTCACTTGATTTCTTCCCAGCAAATATTGACTAACCTACACTTTTTGTTTTACAAAAGTGGGAAGACACCCACTACAATGTTAATGTAAAAACATCAAACAAACAAGAATCGGGTGATAAAATATTACAACTATCTATTTAATATAACAGTGTAGCCCCAAAACACTAATCAATTGCAAAAAAGACTTTAAACACTTAAAATACAACAAAATGCAGCATTAATAGTTATTCTTGTAAACATTACCCCCTTTCACACAGTGATACCGGTAAATATCTGGAAAATTTCCGGAACGACTTTACCGGTATATTCAAAAAAGCGCTGTTCACACAGGAGAGGACGTTACGGAAATTTTCCGGAAAAGAGCATTCACACATCCATTCCAAAATACCGATAAATTCTGACATCATTCACCACAAATGAGCTTTAAACGGCTGCGCTTGTATATGTAAACATTTGACTAAATTACAAACTCTGTGGATGATCAATATTGTGAACAACTTTCGCAGGATCACTTTGGCATGTCGAGATGTTCATAATATGTGCGTGTGCAGGCGCTCACAGGCTGAAGCTTGAAGGTAAACAAACATAAGCATCTCATCGATGATTTGTTACACAGTTGACATAAAGAAGAACATATAAACATGATCTGACTAACTTCTAGCAGCTAAATGTGTCTGGAAAAATATTCAAAGGTTTTTATTCTCACAAACCGCGCGGACGTAAATGCGTCTGACTGTTGTGATTGGCTAAAGCAGACGTCTCACGTCAGCACGTTCTAGACGTGCACGCGCTTATTACGGGAATCTTCCTTCTGCATTCACACAGCGCAGCATTCCGCCAAATTGCCGGTAATGTTACAACTTCTCTTTCCGGAAAATAGCCAGAACGAATTTACCGGTATTTTCAAAAAGGGCCTGTTCACACATACAACCTTTCCGGAAAATTGCCGGCAATTTTCCGGAAAGGTCTGTATGTGTGAAAGGGGCTATTGATAAGTACAGTACAAAATAATTATGTTTTATATTATTACACAAATAAATCAGTTACACTTACAGAGTATATACAGGAATCAGAGAGTGAAATTCAATACCTTTCAATAAGACTCTTTCCATTCATTTTAAGACTTTATAAATCTACTTTTCAACCGGAAACACTGGATAGATTTTAACATACAGTATATTTACTAAATTTAATGTAAGAAACTAAAGCATTATTCAAATACTGAATAAAAATCTATTAAATCTAGCTAATCCAGCAGGTTGGCGCCTATAGAATTGCAGAAATAATACTGTTGCCTTGGTTACTACAGTAAACAAAACAGCATTATGTCAAATCTAGCCGGATATTATTGACTTTATAAACTACACAACAGCCTGATATTCGCAGAATTAATTCAGGCAAACTTTACTATACAACCACATATTGCATTAACATTTAATACCTTGCAAAATAGCATTTAAGACTTTATACTTTAAGGGCCTTAAATGCCTCTATATTGATTTATCAACTTTGATAGTTTTTAAGGCCCTGCGGACATCCTGACGATTTAACATTATTTCCCCTAATTTATATATCTTTTTAACACAAGTTATTAAAAAAACTTCTGTCAATTTAACCTAATGCAGAGACAAAATGGGACACCTTATCTTTGACCACATGCTGACTTGTGGTTGTGAATTCTTACCCTCAGCCGCATGTGAGGGTCTTGATCTTGATGGCGAGGGCAGGCTGAGGTAGCTGAGGATGACATACTTGGTCTCATAGTGAAATCCTTCAGGCACTGTGGTGGAGGAGCCAGAGGCAGCCATTGAAAAGAAACGTCAGGTTCTCAGAGACATGCACGACCAAATGACAGTGTTCACAAGTCCTAGAAGCAAACAAACAAAGTTAACACCAGAATCTTCTCACATTCGATTCAGGGGAATATACACTATGTTTTAGTAATTTTTAGCAAGTATGTGTATATAAAGTTAAACTCTTATGACTTCACTAGAATGACTTTGAGAATGACAATGAGATGTTATGAAGAATCTGCCAGCCTCACCATTCTTTCATACTTTAATCGCAACTTTGAGCAAAAGTGTTTGCGACTGTCATTCCGCCAAGTGTTTAATCATGATAATAAAAACTATAAACATTAATGGTGGTTGTAAATGATACTGATTATTTTAACAGACATGCATAACAGCAATTAGAACTCTACAATTATTTTGTTTTCTGCTTAACTGCACATACATTTTTAAACAAATAACATTGCAAAAGACAGACTAACACTTCATAATAAAATCTCATTATTTTTTTTTTATTGACTTATAAAGTCTCATTAGGAAGTGGTGTTAGTTAATGCATTAACATCAATGAGAAATAGCAACATGCTACATACATTTTGAGGGGGTATTAAACATAACCTAAGAACATAACATCAACTAAGTTTTATAAATGTGTACCAGTTTACAGAAACGGTTAACTTATGTAAAATAATGTCACAAAACCCTTGACTGTTTGACGTGAATTCTTTCACATGCAACATCCCTACCAACACAGTCAAACCTAAAGTTTCTCAAGTTCTTCTCACAATGACCCTTTCAAAACTGGACAGTTCCTACAGCACTGCAACACACATTCCGCCAGGCAAATGTCCCAAGAGTGCCAACTGGCTTGAGATATTTGTACACATGAAGTCCACAACATTTACCAGAACATCGTGTTCAATGTAACGCACGCGGACACGCACAGAAGCTCTCTCTGCGTGCTTGCCACACCTACTCATGCCCGAGCATTCAGCTAGCCGCTAAAGTTTAAACATCATAACCTGTTAGTGTCACTCATAACATAACATGCTATCGGTTTAACGTGAACATGCTGTGACTTAGCTTGGATATATCGTACCTCTGCGCCAGTGACAAATTGTTCTCTCAAAGCGGGGTGACAAACGTGCTCACCCGGTTTCTTTCACAGTTAAGTAACTATACAACTGTAGGATGGCGAAGTGTTTAACGTTCGACATGCGCGTGCGTGCGGTCCATGCTGCGCGTGTGCGGGAGGGCGAAGCCGTGCTCGTGGCTCCGCCTGCTGATCTGACGTGGAAACGAGAAGGTCAAGAATAGAGTTGGGAGCAGAGAAAAGATTCATTACCTGCTCCATTTTTAGCACATTTTATTTGTATTTACGTTAACAGTTCTGGAACATACTTGGTTCATGGTTCTTTTTTTAGTGAACTGTGCAGCGCCAACCACAGTAGTTGGGTAAACGAACGAATGACTCTCATGAATCGATTCTTTTTGAATCAACACCAATCAACAAACACTGGACTGGAGTTTCTTTCTTTCTTTCTTTCTTTCTTTCTTTCTTTCTTTCTTTCTTTCTTTCTTTCTTTCTTTCTTTCTTTCTTTCTTTCTTTCTTTCTTTCTTTCTTTCTTTCTTTCTTTCTTTCTTTCTTTCTTTCTTTCTTTCTTTCTTTCTTTCTTTCTTTCTTCTACAATAATTTCTTTATTAGCATGACAAATGTTAAAAAATAAAAATGAATTTACAATGATTCGTTTCTAGCTTCTCATTCTAAAACTTTGAATTTCTATGACGTTTTATTACATTCAAACTTATTTTTTGCTCATTCAAACTTCTTATTTAAAATGAGTTGAAATAACACTATTGAGTGTCTTAATATTTTTATGTTCAATCCACATACATTTGTTTAAAGTGTTAAGTTAACCTAATGAATTTGTGTTGGGACAACATGAATGAATTGTGTAAAAGCAGAACCCTGCATTTTTTACAGTGTCACAACTTTTCAAAATTATATATAGCTTTTTTTTTCGCACAAATTTTTCCCACTTGCTTTTAGAAATTTAATTCTGTTACTAAATATGAACGTGCAGGCCAATAACATAAACAAAATACACAGGATTATCAGTGTTTTTTATGAGCATAAATGTGTATGTGTGTGTGTTTGTGTTTTTGTGTGTGTATGTGTGTGTGTTATAAAATGAATATGCTACTTTATATACTATTCATATCATTTTATATTATTACACAGTATTTTACCAATAATCTAATATAGAATTTAATGAAGATATGAAATCCAACTTGTGGTCCAGATGCAACATATGCGTTTTCATGCCATTTCACTGCATATATCTTTGCTGCCCTCAAATGGCAAAAACCTGCACATGTAAGTAATTTTTTTTAATTAAAGTGAATCACTTTTGTATCCATTCAAATTAATCTGTGTATCAAGTTCACAAATACAAATACAGGAACTTTTGGTTTTACATTTGTCATGTGATAATTATTATATGTCATGTGATGTATTATTATTATACATTTAATTACATTACCTTACATGTAATCACTAAATTATCATCACTTAAACTTTTTTGATCAACATTAAATTATGCATTAACTAACAAGTACATACATTTATAATAAATAATATGAAATATGTATTAACTATGCAACTGTTATAACTAATTTAAAGCATTAACTAGTGTTAAAATAACATTTTAAAGTTATTAGCATAATGCAGGCCAAGTGTTGAAAGTTTAATTAATTACAGTAATTTTTTATTGTTAGGTCATTACCAGAGTAGTAACAAATAAAGCCCCAATTTGTTTTCATAATAATATCATATCTACAATAATAAAATATATTGTCAAAATAAACCGTTTGAATATAAGAAATGTGTTGCAGGCCTAACACAGGCTACTGCCAACTTTTTAAAATTGTGTTTTGTTAACATTTTTAAATAGCTTAAATATAATGTGAGCATCTCTGCAGAGGAATTTCAAGAACTTTAGAACGTAATTCATCGTCGACATCTCCTTTATAATTCGTGGCCAGTTAGATGTGTGATCAGCAGTGCTTTTGTTGGTGTAAAGTACAGGTGTTGATAGGGTCAGGGTCTCTCAGCGAGAAAGCAAAGTAATCTGTGTTCACGACAGGCTCGACCCTCAAACAGCACCGACTCCCATCGACCACACGGCGGAGCTCCATCCTAGTTCCTACGAGACGCCTGTGGGTGTCCGAGAGGGTAGAGAGAGCAGAGGCGATAAAACAAAGAAAAAGAGACAGAAAAGGGGTGGACGGTTGGACGCTTTACTACTAATTTATGTTGTTAATCTGGGCAAATCCACTCATGGTGAACTGGTGAACCAGGACGAGGCATATCGAGGAGGTGACGGTAAACATCAAGCTATAAACAGTACAAAAAGTCTCTTAATCCCTTGTAAACATCACTATTACGTATAAAAATGCAGATTATTACAATATGATACATTTAGGTTAAACATAGTTCGAAGAAGTTTAATGTTTTAAGAACCAAACTTATTCTTACATTGCATTGGGCTAATATGAGGAGGTCTGTATGCAATATTACATGAAATATAATCTCATTAAATCAAAAGTTTGCTTAGCATTCCTATCTTTAGATCCGACATTGTGTGCAATGTACACTCAAAAAATAAATTTTTGCTTGTTCAAACTACTCATTAAAATGAGCTAAAACAACAATTCTTGAGATTTCTTTGGAACAACTTAATTTTTTATGTTCAATCCACATAATTTTTTTAAAAGTGTTAAGTTAATTTAATCAATTTGTGTTGGGACAACATTGATGAATTGTGTGGATCCCTGCATTTTTTACAGTGTACACTCAAAAAATGTCCTTTGCTGCTTGTTCAAACTACTTGTTTAAAACGAGTTGAAACAACACAATTCTTACGTTTTTTAAGGGACAACTTAATTGTTTCAAATTCAATCCACTTAAATTTGTAAAAACAATTAGGTTAACTTAATTGATTTGTGTTGGGACAAAATTAATTGCATAGAACCCAGCATTTTTTTACAGTGTAGAGAACAACAATGATAAACTTCTTCTCCTTCCAGTAGTCCTGATGTTCTCCATACTTGTTCCCCCAAGTTGTGGATGTTCAGCCTCAAGATCTGAAGATTTTATTATTAAGTCTTGCATGCCATACTGAAAGACACTTCAATCCTTCATTAAATACTACTAATTTAATACTATTTACTGCGTAACTAATTTAACTGCATTTCGTTGCATTGTACTTATTACATTGTACGTATTATAGTTGGACTGTCCCGCTTTGAGGTGGCTTATAAGGCCTGAGCTGTACCTGCATTATACTTCTGCTGGACTGGCAGGACCATCACATTGTGGTCTTAGATCGGCCCTCACCCTGCGTTGATTTTTGGCAGCATTACGATGGCGTCTTCATGGAGGAGCTTGTATGTCATTTCATGCTGCAGCCTGCAGATAACAAACGCAGCTGTTGTGTGCTGTTCCAGGAGGGTCCTGTATCAGGATGCAGAACTTCCTTTTCAACACATACCCTGATTAATTGACAATTTGTTTAAAAAAAATTGTCAACTGATAAATAAAAAGTAGGGTCAGCTTGAAAAACGATAGCCAATAGAAGTTGATTTCCCACACCACTGATCATAAGTAAATCACTGTTTAGACTTTGACTGATTGTCCTAATATGTTATCCAAAACAGTAATACATTACTCAGACTACATGAATGCTGAATACTAGATTGGCTGGTGCAAGGTGTGCTGTTTTTTTTAGATAATTGCATGGCTAAAGTAGTTCCAGGCAGGTCTTGATAGCATTAAAGTTACATACACAGTGCATCCGGAAAGTTTTCATAGCGCTTTACCTTTTCCACATTTTTATGTTACAGCCTAATTCCAAAATGGATTAAATTAATTTATTTCTTCAAAATTGGAAAAATCACATGTACAGAAGTATTCACAGCCTTTGCTCAATACTTTGTTGATGTACCTTTGGCATCAGTTACAGCCTTGAGTCTTTTTGAATATGATGCCACAAGCTTGGCACACCTGTCTTTGGGAATTTTTGCCCAGCCCTCTTTGCAGTACCTCTCAAGCTCTATCAGGTTGAATGGGAAGCGACGGTGTACACTATAGCCATTTTCAGATGTCTCCAGACATGTTCATTAGGATTTAGGTCTGGGCTCTGGCTGGGCCACTTAAGGACATTTACCGAGTTGTTGTAAAGCTACTCCATTGATATTTTGGCATGGGTCATTGCCCTGCTGGAAGATGAACCGTCGCCCCAGAGGTCAAGAGCACCCTAAAACAGGTTTTAATTAAGGATGTCTCTGTACATTGCGGCATTCATCTTTCCCTCAATCCTTACTAGTCTTCTAGTTCCTGCTGCTGAAAAACATCCACCAACATGCTTCACTGTAAGGATGGTATTAGCCTGGTGTTGAGCGGTGCCTGTTTTATTTTCAAATGTAACACCTGGCATTCACTCCAGAGGGTTCATATTTAGTCTCATCAGACCAGAGAATTTAGTTTCTTATGGTCTGAAGTCTACAGACAATTCCTTTATCTTCATGATTGGTTTGTGCTTTGACATGCACCGAGGGACCTTATATAGACAGGTGTATGCCTTTTCAAATCATGTCCAATCTGAATTTACCACAGGTGAACTCCAGTTAAGCTGCTGAAACATCTCAAGAATAATCAGTGGAAACAGAAAGTAGCTACACGGCAAAGGCTGTGAATGCTTATGTACAAGTGATTTTTCAGGTTTTTTATTTTTAATAAATTTGCAACAATTTCAAAAAATCTTTTTTCTTTTTGTCATAATGGGATATTTTGTGTAGAATTTTGAGGAAACAAATGAATTTAATCCATTTTGGAAAAAGGGTGTAAAATTGAAAAAGTGGAAAAGTAAAGCGTTCTGAATACTTTCCGGATGAACTGTATACTGGATAAGTTGGCGGTTCATTCTGCTGTGGTGACCTCTGATTAATTAAGGCACTAAGCCGAAAAAAATGAATGAATGAATATCACTTTTAACAAATAAAAGATTAACATTACAAGACATAACATTAGCACAACATCCAAAATCTCAATCTTTAGCGCAAACTGCATAACAAGACTTTCACTTTGTTACATACGTGTACATTTTATTTTAAATTACATAAAGTTTGTATTTACATTTCAACATACGAAAATACATTAAAGATAAACATTCTTACGCTCCAAAGCAGTAATAAATATCTGTGTTATGACAGAGTAATAAACAAAACAGCGAATAAAGACGGTAAAGCTAGTTAAGGCTTCAAATCAGCATTGTTTTGAAGTTGCTGGTCATGTTGTGTACGTATATTTCTCCAACGAGCCACAATAAAAAAGCGATGTAGAAGTGGTTTGATCAGGACTGGGTTTTGCAGGTGTGCACGTCCACCTCTTCTTGACAGTCCCTGCAGTGAACAGCACAGCACCACTGGAACTTACACTCACACTTGGTTGTGCGACTCACTCTTGATGTGTCGTAGCCCCGCCCACAACACATGACCTCACAGCTGTCAGTACCGCGTGACGTGCGGTTGCACACTCGCCCACCGGTGCCCACCGAACCTGCGGAAAGAAGAACAAATTAAAAATGTTCAAGGTTTAGATTCTCACATGATTAACAATGTTTTTAATGTTCTGAGGTCTGTTGAAGAAAATTTTTAAAGAAAAAATGTCTCACACACACTTACACACACATATAAACAGTATATACATGCGTACATATGTATACCAACATATGTAAAAATACACTAACCGGCCACTTTATTAGGTACACCTGTCCAACTACTTGTTAATGCAAATATCTAATCAGCCAATTATATGGCAGCAACTCAATGCATTTAGGCATGTAGACATGGTCAAGACGATCTGATGTAGTTCAAACCGAGCATCAGAATGGGGAAGAAAGGTGATTTAAGGGACTTTGATCATGGCATTGTTGTTGGTGCCAGACGGGCTGGTCTGAGTATTTTAGAAACTGCTGATCTACTGGGACTTTCGCGCACAACCTTTTCTAGGGTTTACAGAGAATGGTCTGAAAAAGAGAAAATATCCAGTGAGCGGCAGTTCCGTGGGCAAAAAATCCTTGTTGATGCCTGAGGTCAGAGTAGAATGGCCAGACTGGTTTGAGCCGATAGAAAGGCAACAGTAACTCAAATAACCAGTCGCTACAAATGAGGTATGAAGAAGAGCATCTTTGAAAGCACAACACGTCAAACCTTCAGGAGGATGGACTACAGCTGTTGAAGACCACACCGGGTGCCACTCCTGTCAGCTAAGAACAGCAATTCGAGGCTGGAATTCACACAGACTCACCACAATTAGACAATAGATGATTGGAAAAACGTTGCCTGGTCTGATGAGTCTTGATATCTACTGCAACATTTAGACGGTAGGGTCAGAATCTGGCGTTAACAACATGAAAGTATGGATCCATCCTGCCTTGTATAAATGGTTCAGGCTGGTGTAATGATGGGGTGATTTTTTTCTTGGCATACTTTGGGCCCATTAGTACCAATTGAGGATCGTGTCAACACAACAGCCTATCTATGTATTGTTGCTGACCATGTCCATCTTTTTTTGACCACAGTGTACCCATCTTCTGATGGCTTATTTCAGCAGCATAAAGCGCAAATTGTCTCAGAATGATTTCTTGAACATGACAATGAGTTCACTGTACTCAAATGGCCTCCACAGTCATCAGATCTCAATCCAATTGAGCACCTTTGGGATGTGGTTGAATGGGAGATTTGCATCACGCCTCAATATGGACCAAAATCTCAAAGGAATATTTCCAGTACCTTGTTGAATCTATGCCATGAAGGATTAAGGCAAAAGGGGGTCCAACCTGGTACTAGTAAATTGTACTTAATTAAGTGGCCAGTGAGTGTATTTATAATAAACAAATACATGTGCTATAAGTGAATCAGATGATCTGAATTGACCATATTGTGTGAATGAGAGAGTGTACAGGTGTGTATGGGCAGTTGGATATGCCTGAATAGTTGATGGTTCATTCCGCTGTGGTGACCCCTGATAAATAAGGGACTAAGCCGAAGGGAAATGAATGAATGAATTAAAATAAAAACATTTTAAACATAAAAATGTCTTGCTGCAAATAAAAAACTGATCATTGAAGAAGCTACTGAAATCTCTTTAAAAATGGTCAGTACAGACCTGAAATAACCAAACCTAAAATTCAAATCCACATACTTTAATCTAATGATACTAAAATCTTGCCTCAGTGAAAATGTATTAATGCAGTGAATATGCGTAGACATTCCTAAAGCAGGCCGGGCTCCTGTGAACAGTGTTGTGCAGCGTCTGGCTGATGTCTGACAGTGTCTCGAAGAACCTGTAAAAGGATGACCGCCTGCTCCAGCTCAGATGAGGGACTGATGATAGAAGCTATCATCCATTGCTCCAGCTCTTCATCACGTACTCATTTCATCGGCTCTAATCTCAGCCGCCGTCCTCTATGAGGCTGACGCGACGCCGATTGTTGCTGATACAGAAATCGTTAAAGACCTTGTACAAACCCTGGCTTTCATGCTGACTCTGAGTGACAATCTGCAGCCTTTGTTTATGAAAACCTTTCGGTCCCAGTCAACTCTCAGTACTAAGCAAACAGATGTGTTGTCTTGTGACGTGACCTATTTGAAGAGGGCCTTTTTCATAAAAAAATTATCTGTGAATATTCAGCTAAAAACATCCCATAGAAAATGTATTTGACCTTGTCAAATTTGTCCCTTTTTGGGTGTACGCAAAAATTGCCCTTATTTGGGTGTTTCCCTTTAAATGCAAATAAGCTGCTACTTTACAGAAGAGGGCGGAGCCTTTATAGTATGTAGCCAGGAGAGCTCAAAAGTGCTGCAAGTTAAGAAAACGCATGCAAATAGAAAAACTCCAGCTCGCTCTTTAAGATCTCAAAACTCAGGGCTTCTGGTAGTACCTAGAATAGCAAAGTCGAGTAAGGGAGGTCGAGCCTTCTCCTTTATGGCTCCTAAACTCTGGAATAGCCTTCCTGATAATGTCTGAGGCTCTGACACACTCTCTCAGTTCAAAACTAGATTAAAGACCTATCTGTTTAGTAAACATACACTCAATGCATCACTTAGCGGGTTTCCACACAAGTTTCTGCATCTTGTTTATATACACTATGAACAGCAGCTACGCTAATTATTCTCTTTATTCTCCATTTCCACCTGGGGATACTCATCCTGAGGTCCTCAGATGATGCGGAGTCCCTGATTGGACCCAAGACCAGCAACGAGATGATCCCAAGGTGTCAATATCTGGGACCAGGCCGTATCCTGAGCTGCTGCTGCGCTGTTGGTCATGGGGAAGTGGAGAGCATGAGACTGATTCCAGTGACGCTCCAGGGACAGACGAGTCTTCGCTGAGGCTAGCTTCCAGCCTCCACTGCTGAGACTGCAGCTCTGCACAAGACTTTTGGCCAGTTGAGAAATTAAAATGGTTGTGCCGAACTGAGGCTGGTTCTCTCAAGTTTTTTTTTCTTAACTCTCCTATTGGTGAAGTTTTTTTCACTCTCCGCTGTTGCCACTGGCTTGCATGGTTCAGGATCTGAAAAGCTACTTCTGAGCTAAACTGAGCTAAACTGAACTGAACTTAAACACTAAAAACTGAACTACCCTGATCCAGTTACTATGACCATTTATGTGAAGCTGCTTTGACACAATCTACATTGTAAAAGCCCTGTTCAAATAAAGCTGAATTGAATTGAATTTAATTGAATTGTTCTTGAAGCTTTGGATGAGTACAGTTGAACCACTGAAGTCACATAAAATGTTTTTACAATGTTTTGGTTCCTTTTCTTGGACTTCGAATGTCTCGTGATTGTTGTTGTCTATGGAGTGTCAGAGCTCTCGGATTTATTCTAAAAAATCTTCATTTAATTTGTGGTCCAAAGATGTTCCAAAGTGTTTTGGGGAGTAATCTATAAATACAGCTCTGGGGCCTCATGTATCAACGCTGCGTACGCACAAAAACTTTGCGTACGCCAGGTTTCACGCTCAGAATCGCTCACGTTTGGATTTACTAACAATGAACTGAACGTGGGAATGTGCGCACCTTCACGGCAGCTTTCTGGCAGGCGTACGCACATTTTTTGTGCGTGTCTGTTTTATTTCCATTGGCGACTCCTAGAGGCAGTTGTGTTAAATTCTTCTCTACAAAGTGTCTGATCCTTGCAATGGCAGCTGTATGAGACGGGTTCATATAGTAGGTATGTAAGATTTCCATACCATACAGTTGACCAGCTAAACATTAAAGCACAATTTGCAGCGGTCGCCTGTTTTCCCAATGTAATCTGAGCTATCTACTGCACGCACATTGCTATAAAGACACTATCTGAAGATAAATTTGCATGCGTGAATCAGAAACATTTCCATTCAATAAATGTGCAAATAAAATATGATGCACAAACTTATTAATGATTCCTACTTGTCTTTCTCGTGATAAATAGTGGGCAAAATCTGATATGTAGCGGGAAAAAAAAGAAGAAAGAATTCATTAGACGCTGGATTCGAACCGAGTTTGTGCTCGAACGAGTCAGTATATGATCATATGCTTCTTATGAGGTGCGCCACTGAGACTGCTAAGGGTACTGCAACAGTTTACAGATATAAACCACACTATTTCTTTTTTAAATGCACTCAGTGCGATGTTCAGACCCAACTGTGTTAACCGTATCAGCTAAACTCTCCCACTCTATTTTTTTCTTTTGTTGTTAATTCCGGAGAACAAACTTGCAAATAACACCGCTTTTCTCCGTTCTACCTCCGAAAGCAGCACCTCCAATTCACATTCTGTTCAAAGTTTCTCTTTTTGTTTGATTTTGCCGTTGCTTTTTCGTTGGGTTTTGCCATTAGCATAGTCATTAGCATATTCATACGGGGGAGGAGGCAGGGAGGGGTTTTGCGCTCGTGCATGTTGCGCTCAGTTTCACGTTCATTCGGATGTACAAAAGAATATGCGTGAGATTCGGCGTACGCAGTGTTTCATACATCTGAATTTTTTTCTGCGTACGCACATTTACAGCTTTGTGCGTACGCAATGTTTTAGTAAGATTTCCACGCAAGTCTTCGTACATGAGGCCCCTGGTCTCTGTGAAAACAATAGCTATGTTTCCATCCACCAATTTTAATGCTCAGTTTATATCATTGCATAAAAGATGGTACGTTCTTTCACATGACTTGGGACTGTCCCAAATCTTGGGACCTGGGGCCTCATGTACGAAGACTTGCGTGGAAATCTTACTAAAACATTGCGTACGCACAAAGCTGTAAATGTGCGTACGCAGAAAAAAATTCAGATGTATGAAACACTGCGTACGCCGAATCTCACGCATATTCTTTTGTACATCTGAATGAACGTGAAACTGAGCGCAACATGCACGAGCACAAAACCCCTCCCTGCCTCCTCCCCCGTATGAATATGCTAATGACTATGCTAATGGCAAAACCCAACGAAAAAGCAACGGCAAAAGCAAGCAAAAAGAGAAACTTTGAACAGAATGTGAAGTGGAGGTGCTGCTTTCGGAGGTA